CAAAGTCTTTCAATTTCCTTGATCACCTTTTTAGGCAGAATAAAAGTTGAACACCAAAAGGTTGTGACTCCCTGAATAACAGAGGAAATTAACTGCAGTCGCCCAGCAAAAGAGAGGTGTTTTGATGTCCAAGAATTCATTCTGTCCGTGATCTTAGACACCAATGGCTTGAGGTCTTTTCCTCTTAGTCTCCCTGTGATTAAAGGTACTCCAAGGTACCTAACAGGGAGTGTGCCAACCTTGAATCCATAAACTGAGGTAAAGTGCTGAACTTCATCTGTAGGAATTCCACAACAAAAAAGTTCTGACTTTGCATAGTTTACTTTCAAACCAGAAACAGAATAGAAGCTCTTCAAAGTGTCATCAATTGCAGCTAAAGAGGATGCCCTTCCATCTGTAAAAATGATAAGGTCATCTGCAAAGCAAAGGTGAGTGAGTTTAACCTTTGCACATGTAGGGTGGTAGGACAATTGTCCCTCTGTTGCAGCTTTATTAAGCATTCTGGAGAGAATTTCAATGCATATAACAAAGATATATGGTGACAAAGGGTCACCTTGCCTGATACCTTTCTTCCCAGGAAAATATCCCACAAGATTCCCATTAAAAACCACAGAGAACTTTGGAGTAGTAATACAAGCAACCAGCCAATTTATGAAAAGAGGGGGGAAACCAAGAGCATCCAAAATTTGGAAAATAAAATCCCAATGGACAGAATCAAAAGCTTTCATCAAATCAATCTTAAGAGCACAACGTGAACTGAGATTCTGCTTGTGGTAATGCTTTACTATTTCATGTGCTAGTAAGACATTCTCCACCATTAGCCTTCCTTCCACAAAAGCGCATTGATTGTGACTGATGAATAGGGGCAGACATTTCTTGAATCTTTCAGCCAAAATCTTTGTGATGAATTTATAAAGTAAATTGCAACAGAAAATTGGCCTGAACTCAGACATTCTAGCAGGATTTGAGACCTTTGGAACCAAGGTTATCAATGTAGAGTTCAATTCCTTCAGTATTTTCCCAGTTGTAAAAAATTCCTGAATTGCCTTTATCACCAAATCACCTACAACTGTCCAGGAGGCCTTAAAAAATTATGCTGTGTAGCCATCAGGCCCAGGTGCCTTATTTCCAGGGCTATTGAACACAACAACCTTAATTTCTGTTGCAATCACCGGTTGTATAAGCAAAGTACATAGATCCTCTGGCAATTGGAATTGCAGCAAGTCTTTGAGCCATTGACCATCTGCCCTTCTACAATTTACATCTTGTGCTCCTAACAAAATTTGGTAGAATTGTACAGCTTCAGCTTCCATGTCAGGTAAGGCTGTAAGTTTCCTTCCATCCATTGCAGTGAGTTCAGTAATTGTATTCTTCATTTTTCTTATTTTTACCACTTTATGAAAATATGTGGTATTGCTATCGCCTTCTTGCAGCCATTTGACCCTTGATTTCTGCCTAAAGAAAGACTCCTCAGCTAGTTGCAAAGCTGCTACTTTATTGGCCTGCTCATGCTCAACTTGTATTAAATCTTCATGTGGGTTAGCTAAGAGATCAAGTTGCAGCATATGTAGCTTATCTCTTTCCTGTTGCAGTTTGCCTTGTATGTCCCCATAGTGATCACTATTCAGTTTTTTCAAAGCTGGCTTTAGGGCTTTGAGTTTCTTACAAAGTTGATACATCGCACAACCTTTTATATGTGTAGAGTCCCAAATTTGTTTAACTGTTGTCAAGAAGGCCTCATTCCTGGTCCAAAGGGTAAAAAACTTAAATGGCTTCTTTCTGTTACTGACCATAGGCAAAGTAATTTCAACCAGACCAGCACAATGATCTAAGCATCCAGGTGGCAGAAAAGACGCTTTAGTGGATGGAAAATTATCTAGCCAAACTTCATTCACCATGAGTCTGTCCAACTTTTTAGAAATTGTGCTGTTAGCCCATGTAAAATAAGAACCACTTGAAGGAAGATCATGCAGCTCTGCTTCATTGAGTTGGTTTTGGAAAAATTCAGAACTCTTTGCAAGAGTGAGTGATTGTTGCCAATCTGACCTCTCCTCAATTGATCGGATCTCATTAAAATCTCCCCCCACCAGCCAAGGCACTTGAGGGAGAGCTTTACTGATAAGAACCAGCTCTTTCCATAGCTCTTGTCTAACATTCTCATAGTATGAGTTCGCATAGATCACACTGAGGAAGAAATACTTGCCAGTAGTACTGTCAAAAGTATGACAATGCATAGCTTGGGAAGTGGCTTTTGAAACAATAATCTGAATATGAGGCCTATGAAACACCTAAATCCTTCCTAAGCTTGCATACTCATAGTTATTGTGTCCTAGCCACCCAGGTAACAAAAAGCTAGATACTGCCAAAGAATTTTGCTGCTGAACATGAGTCTCAAGTAAGCAAATAATATCAGCATTGTATTGCATAAAATACTTTTGCAACTCTCTTTGTTTACTAGGCATGTTAATGCCCCTAACATTCCAGAAGAGAATCTTCATTTTAACTGGGGGTGAAGAACCTCACTTGAGGAGATTGAACTGTTCTTGGACTGTCTTGGCCGTGGCAATAAAGCTTTTGTGGCCATAGCAACACCTTGAGAAGCAGCTCTAGATCTCTTCTGCTTAAAGGCAGACTCTTGCTCTGTCAAATTAGATTGCATGGCATCCAAAACAGTAAATGGGTTACCAATAGGAACTGGCTGCTCAGAATCACTAATGGATACTAGCTGGCAAGTCGAAGTGGCCACTTTAACTGAACCAGGTAAAATAGATGGTGATACTATCTGTATATCCTTGGCTGGTACTAAGGGCTGACTATTTAGCTCAAGATCCGGCATGCTCGAATGAGAAGGGATAACAACAGTAGAAACCACTTTCTCGAGTTCTTCATGTGTCTTCTTCTTTGAGATTACCTTCCATTATTGTTTCTTAGTAGGTTCCCTTTGGAACTGCTTTGTACAGTCCTTTTTAAGATGCCCCTCCTTCTTGCAATTTCCACATTGCACAGGGAGCCACGGATACTCAAAGAGAAGCTCTATTGGTTGTTGGTTCACACCATCAATAGGGATCGAGGATGGAAGATCTACAACTTTGTCTGCATCCACTTCAACACACACCTGTGCATAGTTGATGTGAACACGCTCTTCTGTGGCCTTATCAAGACAAACAGGGACTCCAATGGCACTAGCCACATATCCTAGCCCCTGAGATGTGTACAAAGTCATAGGAACTCCCCAAATTTTAACCCAAATCTGTATCTTCGAGGGTTTAATCTTGGACAAATCCAGATCAGGTTTCCATGGCTGGAGATACAGAGTTCTTTGTGACACATGCCATGGAATCTTGGAATGAAGAACCCACTCTCTAGTTGCAAGATCCGGAATTTGAAACAGGAAGGTGTTATTTCCTACTCCAGTAACAATTATTTTCCCCTTTCTACCCCAAAGTTTGTTTACAGTATGAACAATGTCGCCATAGTTGGGCGAGGAACCACCAAGAAATGTACCCACTAAACAATTATTCCAAGATTCCAAACCCACAGCATGAACATCATCAGGAACTACTAATCTACCATTCCGAAATTCAGGTGGGTGAAAAGACAGAGTACCTTTTCCAGAATTAGCAACAACATCGGCCCAGGTAGACTTTACTGGGGA